GCTTTGGTGTCCTTGTTCCTTTTGTATCCTCCTTTACTCTGGCATATTTCTCAATTCATGCCATGAGCTCCTCCATATTTTTGGTAGGGTTCTGGCAAATGACTGTTGTAAAGGGCAATAGTCTTCCAGGTCGTTTTTGAAAGATACGATCGCCAACTCCTAGTTATACGTCGGTATTCGGTCGAACACCTCATAATACCGCTTGGCATATGCCCTGAGGCTCTCTACTTCTTCAATTTTCAAAGCCAGTAGAGTATCTACCCTTAATGGCTGCAATTTGTTTATGACAATCCTGGCCACAAACATTTCGGCCAGGCACTTCCAACTTCTCACAGTTCTTTTCGGCAATTTGCGAAACCAATCCGATGCAATCTCCCTAAAGGATAAGGGGAACATTTTGCACAACAACTGCTCATATCCACTGTACAAAGCCATAGAATTCATATACAAGTCGACATAAAAGTTAGGGTCGAACTTGCCCTCGTAAATTTGGAACCTCGGCATCTGAAATCTTTTCGGGGCTTCAAATGTATCCAGCTCCACTGAAAACGGTGTCCTTGGTTTGATTGGAGATGTGATCTCGGCGTCATGCCGCTTCCTCTGAAGGTAGTCTCTAAAATCCTCATTTGTTCGGTTGGGAGCCTAGCTATTAACATACTTCAGCCTTTTTGGCGCGCTGCTCCCGGTGTCATTGTGCGTCTTAGATTTCCCCTCATTCTCCGTATCAAAGTAGAGTCCTTTTCCTTGGATATGCCGGGATTCTTTGACATAAGTTCTCTTGGTTTGCTATGTCCTCTGTGACTTACCCTTGATTGACTCTGCTCGCCCAACATCGCGCGAAGGCTGATATGAACGCTTCTTATCCTTTCTATGCTAGTGGACTATTAGGATTGCCTTGTCATATACAAGTCGACATAAAAGTTAGGGTCGAACTTGCCCTCGTAAATTTGGAACCTCGGCATCTGAAATCTTTTCGGGGCTTCAAATGTATCCAGCTCCACTGAAAACGGTGTCCTTGGTTTGATTGGAGATGTGATCTCGGCGTCATGCCGCTTCCTCTGAAGGTAGTCTCTAAAATCCTCATTTGTTCGGTCGGGAGCCTAGCTATTAACATACTTCAGCCTTTTTGGCGCGTTGCTCCCGGTGTCATTGTGCGTCTTAGATTTCCCCTCATTCTCCGTATCAAAGCAGAGTCCTTTTCCTTGGATATGTTGGGATTCTTTGACATAAGTTCTCTTGGTTTGCTATGTCCTCTGTGACTTACCCTTGATTGACTCTGCTCGCCCAACATCGCGCGAAGGCTGATATGAACGCTTCTTCTCCTTTCTGTGCTAGTGGACTATTAGGATTGCCTTGGGCCCTTCTTTCTGGGCATCAGTCTTTGCTGCTGGCATCAGCGTATCCTGCAACGGAAATGGTGGCTGTATAACATTGTTTTGCATCATGAAGTGGACCATTGACTGAAGGTTGGCCAACTTTTTTCCCCATCTCTTTCATTTCTCCTTCTCTCCTAAGGCATCTATCCTTCCATATCTGGAGGTAGTTTTCATTGTAGTATTCTTCTCGACCAACTTTCTTTGGGGCATTACCGACATCCTTCTCCCTAGGATTTGGATCCTGTGTTTCCTTGCTAGGGTTCTCCTCTCCGATGTTTAGATCTATATGTTCGCCACTCTCATTGTTGATGTCATCCCCGACCTTTTCTTTCTGTGCGTCGTTGGCCATCTATTTCCTTAAGATTCCCACAGACGACGCCAAATTGTAGGTGTTGATTTTTTACCACATAACCAAACAGGGAACTCAGCTGGAGAGCGACGGCAGAATAGATTAAGCCCGAACAACCTATCACAGAAATATAAAAATACTGCGGTGGTTCTTCTACCTGGGGGCACTCTGATGATCAAGACAGTAATCAAACATCTCTCAAAGATAGCTAAATGCGCTTAAACTCACAAAAAAAGACTTACATTTCACCCACGAGTGTGCCATGTTTTTATAGCCATTAGTGCCCAACTTCCCTAGAAGTCTTACTTCATGGGATTCTGGCACATAATGCTTATCTTGGATTTCTAGCTAGATAGGGATAAACACCCTAAGAGCTTTGTCTTTATCCAGACTAGAGCCCTCTTTCATCTAAGATTCTTCTCCCCTTATCCGTTTATCTCGGATTCCAGTATTTCCGCAGATAACCTCGGCCCAGCCGAGATCATCTTAACAATTCGACCAAGCCATGTGGCATCTTGACTGACACTTCCGCGTCATCTTGGCCAATAGTTGTCATTCACAAAATACATCCCCATACTATGTAATAATCTCTGTTTGGCTAACACTCTGTTTGGATGGAGGGATTCGGTTTGAGAATTGGAAACCCTTTGTTTAGATGGCTAAGTAAGGTGATAGATGGTGAGAAATGAATTCTCACCATACTTGTTTTTTATTTTTTACCAAAAATGATGAGATTTGATGAGAAAAGAATTCAATTTAATCAAACTTATTTAAACACATGAAAATTATCCTTATAAAAAAAATAAATTATTAATATAAAAAATTATTTTGATAAAATAAAATAAAATAAAACATTTTTTTTGTCTTTTAAATCAATTTTCATTTTCTATTTGTAAGGAAAAATAATTTTTGAAAACTATAAAAAGCCCAATGCTGATGAAGTTTAGGAGTGTATTCTGGCCTCGTTTGGGAACCCTCATTTTTAGCCCAAAAGTTAAAAAGTTACTAAATTAGCCAAAAAGCTAACAACCCATACCAAAAAGTTAAAGATTTTCTTTTCTCTCTACTTTTTGCACATCTTTTCGTAAAAAGCCAAAAAGTTATCCCAAACATACTAGTTTTTTTTAGCTCATATTTTAGCCAAATAGTCAAAAAATTTCTAAATTAGCCTGTTCCCAAACGAGGCCTCTTTACAGAGAATTTGCCACCAAACTGGCATACTTTCCGTATGGGCATCTCTAAATTTAAAAATTATTTCCGCTAATAATAAATTATTTTCACTAAATTAGTTTTTAATTAATTTATATTTTTTTTAAAATATAAAATCTCAACCAAACAGAACCTGGCGAAAAAGCAAACCCCCATGGGGTGTTTGGGAAGCCAAAATATTGACTTTTTTTATTATTAAATTTTACAAAATGATAAAAAAAAAATTAAAATAGTTAATAAAATAAAATATCACATCAAATCATAATCATTTTATTTTTTTTTATAAATATTATATTCAGCTACAAAAAAAAAATCAATCCTCTTCCAAATTCAAATATTTTAATATATCAAAATAATTAAAAATTAAAGTAACTTACTAAAATAATCAACTTTTCAAACGGGGCAATGCATCTAGAGATACAAATAGAAAGGTAGGTACGTACGAATTCTATCCAAAAGCATAGAAAAAGAATCACAATAATTATATTTGTATATTATATCCTAGAATTCAATGAAAAGTTCAAAAAATGGATGGAATACAAACATTGGGAGAAATAGAGAGAGAGAGAGAGAGGGGTACAATAAAATCACTGAAACGAACTTGAGATTTCCTCATCTGGGCGAGAGAGGTGAGGTCTACACCACCGACTGAGATCCGCCGTGACAATAAACATACTCATTGCTGTGATAGACTCACATCATTTTCCTTAATTCAACTTTGGGTTATTATGTGGTTATGTTGGATAAATTTGAATTATATATTAATATTTTTAGATAATTTTCAGATAACATTCTTGAATTTGTAATATTACTCAATTTTTTTTGACAATCAGCTAAAAAGTCATATTTAAAACGGTTAATTTCACATTTTATTCTTGAATTATTGTTAAATTGTCTACTTATTATTTAAACCATCCATTGATTCTATGGAGTTCTTAAAATATATAAATTAAAGTATACTTAATCTTTAAACAAGCAATTAAATTAATTAAGTTTTCAAAATATTTAATTCAAACTTATTTAATCCATGAAAATATTATAAAAATAAAATATAAATTCACAAGTATTATAAAAGGGGAAATTTTAAATACATAGAATAGTGGAGAAATTATTGCACTATAGATGAAATTTTTTGTGATACAACTTTGACACACCGTGAGCCTTGCATCATACACAAAATACAATTACACCACCATGAGAATGCAAATGATTCTTCACAATCCATTGATTTGATAATGATTTTTTTATAACTCGGTAATGGACTGACTGATCATCGGACCGATCTTACCATTCACTAATGAGAGGTCCAATTGGATTTGATCTTAAAAATTATTTGCGTTTGAACCTGAGACCATAATGAAAGCTACTTGCCTAGACCCCAAGTCTTGACCACCAGACCAAACAGTTTGCAATACTACTAATGATAGACACGCAAACATTCAACATAACCACAAAATTCAAGCACAGACCAAAGAAAGAAAGAAGGAAAAAAAGAAAAAAAGAAAAAAAAATATTGAAATCGTGCAGAAAAGATAATTGTTACCTTGGTCAGTGCAAAAAGAAGAAATCTTTAACTTCTTCTGAGGGTTGGAAATGTCTGATGGAGAAGAAACAAACCCCAAAAGAACTAAAAGAAAAGATGAGAGGAAGTGTAAAAATCTGTAACTTCTTCTGAGGGGTTGGAAATTCTGATGGAGAAGAAATAAACCCCAGAAGAACTAAAAGAAAAGATGAGAGGAAATGTGTGACAAAAAGGTTAGCTGAAATTGTGAGGCAAAGACTAGGAAGGAAGGTGAGCGGAAGAATCCTCAAATTGTTTGGGTTGACCCTAGTCAATGGGTTACTCACAAGTTAAGTGTGGTATAGCTGGAAGCAAAAGAAGGCTGTTGATAGAGATAATTCACAGACAGACATTAGCCCCACATCATGCCAACTCTATCTTATTATTATACTATTATTGCTATTATTATTGCTATTATATATATATACTAGCGTATATCCGTTCCTAAAGGTACGGTACAAATAATGTTGTGATCAAAATATAATTGTAATTCATACGTATCATATTAAAATTTATAGAGTCTGTAATATGTTTTGACAAAACTATTGAAAAAATATAAAGAAATACTATTCTTTTTAAAAAACTTAAAATAATTTTATTTATACCACATGTTTTACAGAACTCGAATAAAATAACAATGAAATTACCTAGAACTCTGGTGATGCAGCCCACGAAAAAGCACCGAAATACTCCCACTGCCAGTAAACAAATAATTATTTTGTTGTTTAAAAATTTCAATAAAAACTAACAATTATTCCAATTGATATATATAATACTATCAAATAAATAATTATTATGTTGTTTAAGAATTTCAATTTAATAGTTTGTCCAACAAACAATAAAAGCTAAATAAATTAAGATTCTAAAAATAAAAATAATAATAAATACAGTATTGTGATTTTCCAGAAGTTGTGAAATTTTCGGATCCCCTTCCCGGGTTGGTGGTGGGTCACCCAAAGCTTCTTTTTTTTTTTTTTTTCTTTTAAGACTACACTTTCTATCGCTTTTCTTGCTTGCTTTTTCCATCTAGCCAATCACATCCTTGGCAACAACTATAATTTATCTAGCAATAGATTTTAACACCTTTTGATTTTAACACCTTCAAATTACTGATTTATGGGCTGATAAATAGTACAAATCTAATTTATGGTGAGTTTGATAAGTATAAAATTTTGATTTATCGTAAAGTATGAGTTTCTAATCAGGTAAGTCCCCATGGTTGGTCTGGAGGTTTAAAAATGTATCGCCCATAAAAATTAAAAAATGTATCACCCAAGAAAGTAATGTGTCACCCTAGTGTATACCCGTGTCTAAAAGAAATAATATCACTAATTATAAGATTAAAATATAATTAAATTTAAAAGTATTGATTTAAAATGTAATTTATCAAATTTATTGACTTTAACATGAATTTTGTGTATGCCTAGGCACGGGCATACGAAAAATATTTATATTATCAAGAAAAAACACCACAACAAAGGCCCGTCACAAATTTGCATCAAGGAAAAGAAAAAAAAATGAATTAATCTGTAAGAAAAACCTTAAGTAGTCCCCATCTAGCCCAGCAACTATTACAGTTTTCCCATCATGGCCAGCAACCTTGCAGCAAAAATCATAAAGGTCGCCAAAAATTGAGCTTCAATCACATCCAGCTGCCAACATGTAACCAGCATTTAGAAGATAATAGAAAAAGCATCAAAACAAAAAAAAAAACAAAAAAAACTCCAAACTTAAATATAGGACTGCAATGGTGTTAATCATGAATAGCATTTGGTTTCACATTTTAAAAAATAAATAATAAAGAGAGCCTAAACAGTTAAGATTACTTGTCTACCAGTTAAATTAGCTCACATATGGTTTGCCAACACCAATAATTAGAAAAGTGACTTGTACAATGTCAAGCCACAAGAAACAATCAAATTCTTCTTACATAAAACCATGAAGATGATAGTAACATCACTTCAATATCACTTACAATATATCAAACACATCCAACTTATGAAGCTACCAAGCCCATAGAACAACTGGGATACCATAGACTGAACCAAAAAAAAAATTATAAAAAAAAAAAACACAAATCAAATGGTTCAAGTTTGAAATACCTTGGCATAAGCCTCATCTCCAAATTTTTGCCTAAATGACCGAGTCAACCGCATATCTCGTATCCTTGCTTGACTTTATTATTGCAACATTTCTACATTTACATGGTTGGCCCCAAAATAATAGTTAAAATAAAATAAAATTCTTATGCATCCAACATAAACTTAACACATTGTTATCATCTACAATTAATTAACATTTAGAATTTCTTAACTACATAACACCATAAAAGTGTTGAGAATAAATTGCACAAATTAAATTACAAATCAGAACCCCCAACTTTACAAATCTGGGTAAAGCTTATATCTCTAGCTACTTCTCAAAATATCCGAATTAAACTCAAATTCACGAAATTAACAAAGTCAACAAAGTACCTGCCATTGTTGCCCTCAGATTTGACTCGACGAAGGAGAGCTATTGTTTTTCCAGCGAACATTGGCCCAACAATGACGTGAATCTCACAAAAATTCAAAAACCTTCTTCTCATATTATATAGATTTCTTATCGTATTTTCTCATCTCCAAACACAGTAATTGGGTCTCAAGTGAGAAAATAAGATAACAATTGAGATTACATGTAACATTACTTTTTTTTTTTCTGAATATATAGCATTGCTGATTCTAATACAGCCAAGGGGGGGGTTTCAATTCAATTGAAGTGTTGTTGTTCCAACCATGGCCAAAACCCAGATTGATCATCAATGGCACAAAACATGTTGGAAAAGCTTTCTTCTTTGACAGCATTTTGATGATCAATGATCTTGTGGTTAGGTTGTCTTGATGAAGAAGAAGAATTTGGGAAAAGGTGGGCCACGGCAGCAGAAGTGGGCCTGGTGATGATGGAGGGTGGAAAGAGGGGTCTGCTGCTGCTTGTTGAAATAATTGGATGGCCATGATGATGGTTTGATGAAGGGCTGTCCATGGCTGGTGGGGTCCTTGTTGAGATGTCTAGCTTGATCTCTGAGCTGTTTTCACTTCTGTTGCTGCTTGAACCCTCTGTCTCTATGTTTAGGTTTATTGATTTTGTTGGCTCTCTGTTTTTAAGTGCTATTATCTGCATTCATTCGATTCAAAATCAGGAAGTTCGTTTTTTAGATAGGAAAAATCAAGAAGTTTTGGATACATAAAAACTGGTTATAGCATCGGACATAAAATATATATGGAATAAAATGCAATGGTTCATGAAAATTTATCTTGAATATTATTCTAAAAGTGAGTGTGTGATGTAAATTTAAAGTTGATGGAATGTAGATCACACACACTCAAAATAGATGTAGACTATTGATTTTTTTTTTTCTATGTGATTTTCTAAAGTAAATCTTCTGGATTTGTAGCATTACTATATATGAAAGACAATTTTTTTTTAAAGTGGGCCTCATCAGCGAATTTTATAAAATTTTATTTCATTAATGCATGTTTTATGCTCTTTTCTGTGTTTGCAACAGAATGGAATGAAAATCAACAACTATATGGGAGAGTTTAGTATAGTCTTTTACTTTGGAAAACAGAAAATAGAAGTTGACTCAGAAAATTTGCTTGCCAACTGTTTTTGAAAATTGAAGTTTTTTGAAAAAAGCTTATTTGAATTGTTTTTTAAATTTTCAAAGTTACTTTCACAAAAAAATGAAAACAATTGGTGTTTTTGAACTACTCATTGTTTTTGTTTCTGAAAACTTGAAAATAAGGATAAAGCTCTTAGGGAGTTTATCTTTATCTCTTGAAGAGTCCAAAGTAAGTACTAAATTGGAGTCCATAGAAGTCAGGCTTCTTGTGGGACTAGGATTAAGTAAACTATAAAAGAGAGGCACCCCCGTGGGTCTAAGATACGCAATTTATGCTTTGAGCAGTAAGTTTAGCACTTGATTATCTTGGAGAGATATACGGACTTGATTGTCGGAGTGCCCCTGGGTGGAAGAGCCACCGCCGGAGCCTTTTCTTTCTGTTGCAGGATAACTGAAGCCATCTATTCTGCCAGTGCTCTCTAACTGATTACTAAGCGGGCAGTGTGATTAGAAAATCACTCCCACAATTTGGCGTCGTCTGTGGGAACTTAGAAGAATATATGGCCAGTAATGGACAGAAGGAAAAGATTGGGGACGACACCCTGCTGGGAGTGGCAGACCAATCGACCTTGATATTGAAGGAGACAACAACAATACAGAAACTCGTAACCAGGGCCACGGAGAGAATGACGTCGGCCAGGAGGGCGACACTTCGAAGAAGGCAGCCCAAAACAAGTACTATAACGAAGATAGCCTCCAGGTATGGAGGGATAGGTGCCTGCGGAGGGATAAAGAAGTAAAAGAATTGGCAAACAAGTTGGCAGACCTGCAGTCGGTTGTCAACTTCATGATGCAAAACAATGTCATGCAGCCACCATACTCGCTGCACGACACGCCGATTCCAGCAACTAATACCCAAAAGGGAGGAAGGAAAATAATCCCTGACGCCCCTCAGCACACCAGGAGCGGAAGGTACTCACTTCGATCTTCCAGGGAAGTCGAACGAGAGGAGCCAAGACGAGAGAAGTCCCGAAGGACGCATCACACGAAAGACCCAGAGCCCAAAGAACATCGGCACGTTCAAGGGCAGGCACTTTGCTTTGACACAAGCCATGGAGAAAGATCAAAACGGGCCCACCACGAGGCCGAAAGTAGTGTGCCGAAAAGATTGAAGTCCAAAGATAGCCGAGCTCCAGGAAGGAGTAAAGAAGACTTGAGAGATTACCTCAAGAGGAAGCAACAGAATGCTGAAGCCGAGGTAACTTCCCCGGTTAAGCCGAGGACACCATTCTCGGTGGAATTGGATAAATTTGAAGCACCAAAGAGATTCAGTATGCCAAGGTTCCAAATGTATGATGGTAAGTCAGATCCCAACTTTCACGTCGGGCTATACCTGAATTCAATGGCACTATATAGTTGCCCTTTCTTATTACCACGTACCCAGAAACTTACCTGATCCAACTCCAAACGCACACTTCGATGCGTTGAGTTCGGAGCCGGTATGTTTTGAGTATATCAAAGACCTCTTTTAGGTCGACAAGATACCCTAAGGTTTCCTTGGTCTTCACGACCATGTCATCGATGTAGACCTCTACTTGTTCGGCCAATCAGGTGTTTGAACATTTTGGTTACCAGCCTTGGTAAGTTTCGCTCCGCTGTTTTTTAACCCGAAAAGCATTACCCTGTAACAGTACAGCCTTTGGGGTGATGAATGCGGTTTTTTTCTTCGTCTGGGGGGTATATGGCGATCTGGTGGTACCCCCTGTAGGCATCTAGAAAACTCATTCTCATGCCCTGAGTGGCATCTACTAGCTGGTCAATTTTGGCAGGGGAAAGCTGTCTTTGGGACAGGCTTTGTTGAGGCTGGTAAAGTCTACACAGACCCTCTATTTACGTTCTTCTTCTTTACCACCACTGTATTGGATAGCCATGATTGGGTATGTGTACTTCTCTAATGGCCCCTGCCTTAGAAAGTTTGTCTACTTCTTCTTCTACTGCTTCGACGTGTATCAACGTCGGTCTTCTGGCTGCTGGATTACAGGTTTGGCCGACCTTCAACATTCAGTTTTGGCAAGTGACCTCGGGGTCAATACAGGCATTTCGTAAGGTGTCCAAGCGAACACCTCAAATATTTGCTCTTAAAAAAGTCTCCATCTCTTTTTCCTCTTCTTCGGCTAAGCCCAACGCGAGAAGAAAGAAGCGTTCTTCATCCCCTCCTGGACGAGGATTTCTTTAGCGCCTCTTCGCTCTTTTTGGCTGGTTCTTTCGACGTCTTCTAGGACTTTAAGTCCTCATCTTTAATTTCTGCCTCTCTAGCTCTCGCACTGCAAGTAATTTCAATTGCTGCCATGGAGCAATCTTCGCCTGTAGCTGATCGCCTCTAACTTCCTCTATCCATGCTCTGTTGGGCAATCGCAGTGGTTGATGCAAGTTGAGGGAATTGCCCCATTGCATGCAACCATGGCCTTCCCAAGATATGTTGTATGGCGAAGGGTTGTCAATCACCATGAATTTGTCCTGACCTTCTTTAGTGCCGCTTGTACTTCTAAGCTTGTTCGCCCAGTGGCCACGTCGGCGTTCCATTGAAGCCGACCATCGGGCCATTGATTGCTCCAAGTCATCAGGATGAAGGCCCAGCTCCTTGTAACATCTAACATACATGATGTCGCAAGAGCTGCTTTGATCAATCAGGATGCGTTTCACTTGGCACTCCCAACCTGGAGGGATACTACAAGGCATCATTATGCGGATGCTGGACCATTTCTAGGTCGACTTCAGTAAAAGCTATCGTCGGTCCCTGGTATTCTTAGGCCGAGGTCTTTTGTGTCCGACCTGTTCACGTGCTGTAGGTGTGTTTACCTTTCTGAGTCTCCCCTCTATGTGTTTCGTTCACCTTTGAGAATTACATTAACCACCCGAGGTCCTCCTTCTGTGGTTGCTGAGCTGGGGGAGGTGGAGCTGCTGGTGCTTGAGGCAATCTTGCCTGTTCTTCTCTAGTCCTGGCCTCATCGACAAGGTCCCTCAGATGGCCTTGCCTCACCAAGTCTTCTAGGTGTGCTTTTAGGGCTCTACAACCCTGAGTTGGGTGCCCTTCTTCATTGTGGTAAGCACAACGCCTACCGACGTTTCTTCCCATAAATCCCCTGGTGTTGTTGTCGGTCCTCTTAAAATAGGGTTGGTTTCGTATTTGATCCAGGACTTTGTGGATTGGGACTCGGAATATAGTCGTTACTGCCTGTTTTAGCCCTCAATTTCGTTTCTTGTTTGTTCGGTCCATTGTTACCTCGGCTTCGCTTCGGCGAGCCGTTTTCCTTTCTCCTACTTTGTCTCTTTGTTTCCCGACGCATCCTCCTCGGCTCTGGCGTACTTCTCGATTCTCGCCATGAGTTCTTCCATGCTTTTTGGCAATGTCTTTACCAAAGACTCCGTAGTGGGCAGTCATCTTTCAGGCCGTTCTTGAAAGGCACGACCGCCACCTCTTGGTTGCATTCAGGTATTCGATTGAACACCTTGTAGTACTTTTTTGCGTAGGCCCTAAGGCCTTCATCCTTGGTGATTTTTAAAGCCATGAGTGCATCGACCCTCAAGGGCTGTAATTTGTTCGTCACAAACCTGGCACAAACATCTCGGCAACCTTCCCAAGTCTTTACGCTTCCCTTCGTAGTTTATGAAACCAATCTGATGCAATTTCCCTAAGGATGAGGGGAATACTTTGCAGAGCAATGGCTCGTTCCC